TTTTTTTTAAAAAATGTTTTTTTTATTGATTTCAAGGAGGAAGGGAGAGGGAGGGAGAGATAGAAACATCGATGAGAAAGAATCATCGATCGGCTGCCTCCTGCACGCCCCACCCTGAGGATCAAGCCCACAACCCAGGCCTGTGCCCTGACCAGGAATTGAACTGTTTTCTCCTGGTTCATACAGAGGTCGATGTTCAACCACTGAGCCACACGGGCTGGGCTGTGTACAAGATTCTGTGTGTGTAGTCATGTTTCCATTTCTTTTGCTTTGATATCCAGGAGTGGAATTGCTGGGTCACATGGTTTAGCTTTCTTTTTAAATATTATTTAATGACTTTAGAGAGAGAAAGAGAGGAAGGGAGAGGGAGAGAGAGAGAAACATCGATCGGTTGCTTCCCATACACACCCCGACTGGGAATCGAAACCGCAACCTGGGCATGTGCCCTGACGGGGAATGGAACTGGCCACCTTTCGGTGCACAGGACAATGCCCAGCCCACTGAGCCACACAGGCCAGGGCCGTGGGTTAGCTTTTTGAGGTGCTATCACCTGTTTGCCACAGTGGCTGCCGTTTGCGTGCCCACCATCCTGTTCAGGGTTCATTTCTCACCTGTGTCCTGTGAGACTTTAAACCAGCGGTTCTCAACCTGTGGGTTGCGACCCCTTTGGCGGTCGAACGACCCTTTCACAGGGGTCGCCTAAGACCATCCTGCATATCAGATATTTACATGACGATTCATAACAGTAGCAACATTATAGTTATGAAGTAGCAACGAAAATAATTTTAAGGTTGGGTCACAACATGAGGAACTGTATTTAAAGGGCCAGAAGGTTGAGAACCACTGGTTTAAACGTTCTTCTGTCCGCGGGGCACACCCCCTGGGACTCACCTGAAATGGCTGTCTGCGGCCAGGCCCCCAGTTCGCTGCAGCAGGTGCCTTTGTTCCATTAGCAGCAGATGGTGGACACCACGTTTGCACTGGGTTTCATTTGTATTTAATTGGGTGGAATGTTTGCATGATTCCCCGTCAGGTCTACGGAATAAGATATAACCAGAGAATTAATTCAGTCTCTTCCCCTCATTTGCCCCTTCTCCTAAAGTAACAGGTTTACATTTTTATAGCTTCTCCTAAAACTTTAAAAATAGAAGCAATGGTGCATGTGAACCCACACCGCCCACACACATGCTTCCCCTCCTGTTCTTGGCAAAGGGCCTCGTCCTGCACACACTCCTCTCGCCGTGCGTTCCTGGTCGAGCCTGGAGGCTGCCCTTGGTAGCCTCTAGACGTGTCCCCACGGTCACTTTCGGCCGCCTGGGGCCCCGCTGTGTGGCTGGACCCGCGTCACTCACACCAGCTGCTGGCCTTGGGATGGCCCCAGACTTGGCTCCCAGGAGTGAGCGGTGCCGCAGGGAGCCGCCTCCTGCGCCGTCCCTCTGTGATGAGGCCACTTGGGAGATCGAGCCCCGCTGCCTCAGCTGTGGCCAGCGGGACGAATTCTTGTCCACCACCTACTGGACGGCTCTTCCTCAGGGCCCCCATCTCAGTGGCGAGTGGATTGGTAAGTGCATCGCTTTTCTGCCAGGCTGATCGGAAGACATCACACATTCTCTGACGGGCTCCGTGGATTTCGGTGACTGACCTGCACCCACTCTTTTGCTGTGTGTTCAGGTGACAGCCCGAGGACACCTGCTCTGTCTGGAGCCCCCTCCTGCCTTCCTGACGTGTCCAGCCACGGACGCGGCTTGTGCATGACACGCCTCAGCCTCCGGGCCTCATCAGCTCAGTGCCCACGCCGAAGCTGGGAAAAGGAAGAGAACCCACAGAGAGCCCCATGAAGGCCTCGGGAGACGCCCCATCCTCCAGGATTTCCATAGGTGCAGGGGTCCGAGGGAGGAAGACTGTGGTAGGCGGCCGGCTGACCGGACAGCCCGGCGTCTGGGTCAGGACCTTGGACAGCGGCGCCCGGGCTCAGCACTGCGTCGGGGGAGCTGGGGATCCGGCCAGCAGGTGGCGCTGTCGCACCCACCACA